CGGTTTTATACTGCAAACTTTAAACAATATCTTCTTCGAAAGTGATGTTAGCATGCTAATCGTATTGCTGAATATAGTAGGATACGTAGAATATATGTTGTTTGTAACTTTTTTAAACTCAATGGATAATTATATTCGAAAAATAGAGGAATTACGAGAATTAAAAGGTAGATTGCAATATATTAGATTAGATTATAAAAATTATTAAATTCATATATTGATTATCTAAATAGCACAAAAATTAGCTGAGGAAATTGCTAAGAAAATTCAAGAAATTGATGAGATGTCATTATCTGAATATGAACTACTTGCGGAAGACGAAAAGAAATTTTATTTGGAATCAACTTTACCAAAAAAAAAACAAGAAGCGCTACAAAGGCGAATGCAATTTGTACAACGGATGACGGAACTAAGAAAAAAAGAAGTATCGACTTCACGATTGAACTTTAGAAAGACCTAAATTTTCGGATTTCTCTATTTTCTTTAAAAATTAGCGTATAGAATATATATAACTATTAAAGATATTTCTATTTTATTCTTTATTGCCAATAATAATGTAATTCTATATTTAATATTAATGTAAATTTAATTTAATAATGCTCATGTTTTTCATTGCCATCAAATTGACAATGCATATTCTACAGACATTATCTCGGCAAACATTTCATAACACACGCATTATTAAAAATAAGAAAACAAATAAGAAAATAAAAGATGGAAAAACTAACAGTCAAGAGGAAAAATCTCAAACTTCTAAAGCTCCCGTCAGCGAGAAAGAAATTCGGGATCTCAAAGAGTCAAAAAATAGAAACGATTCTAAATCAAGTAATAATAAAATTAAACTAAACAGTACAATAAATTTATTTTTTGAACAAAGAAAATTATAAAATTTAACTTGTGATTTGCAATATTATATGACATTTAGAAAAGCAAGAAGTATCGAAAGAATTGGAGAGTATTGCTAATGCTATGGATAATTACTATAGCAGCCTTCGGGCCATAGAAAACATCATCAAAAATTGGGATCCTCTTAAAAAAGTAAATATCCGAAAATATTCTACAAAACTTTAATTGTTCTCCCTCAATATTTAAAAATTATTTATATATAGTATTATTTTTACATCTATTATATAGGATGCACTGTTTACGGCGAAGAGCAAAATTTTGAAAATTGATAACAAAAAAGATAAGAGTTCTGATATCAGTAAAGAGGTAAGATATAATTTCAATTTTAACTCAATACAACTTATAAATTTATGTAAAAATTTTATTTAAAAATATAATAATTATATTTAGAATATAATAAAAAAATTATCGCAGCATATTTATACAGAGTGTCCCAGGGTCAATCTGCCATTAGCGGATGGTATAGTGGGGCATTTGTATATATACTCGTACAATTTAATTATTTTTACAGACTTATACAAATGAATATATAAAAGAATATATTCATATCTGGTATGTAAATGCCACAGATCCATGGAATCGAGCGATATATGACGTAATAGTTAATCAAATGAGCGAAAATAGCTTTATTAAGAAAGCTCTTTGTAAGAAATATAAATATTTTTTTAAACAAATATTTGTGTATCACATAAAAAAATTATTGAATAATAATATTTAATGTTAGCTTTTGAAATCGCACCAAAACCGGATCTTGAGCCGAGAAAATACTATATTCTTAAGCCACGAAACATAAAAAAACGCGATATTAAAAGTAATGGCAAGTATCTAGTCAACGTAATTTGTGATAATTGTCCATCTGTTATATATTTATCGCAAAAACTAGTAATCGTTAAATAATTAATCGTAATAGTTTTATGTTATTAATTAGGAGCTTATCAAATCGTCTCGTTATCCACAATGTCTGACTCCATAATGGCGAGCAATTCTTCACATGTTAGTTTAATTAATAAACAAGAAAATCACGCAGAGAATTCAAAGCGCAAGAAGCGTGTCATCGACAAAATTGAAGAACCATCATTAATATCATTAAATACGTCAATAACAGAGAATAAGGAGGCATCTACTACAAATGCAATCTTCGAAGTGATGCTAAAATCACGATGGATTTTGCAACCCAACGAGAGTCGGAGATTCAAGATCCGATATCAACCCGAAGAAATTGGAACTCATCGACAAACGTACACATTATCTATCATCGATGGCAATGATATCAGTTATGATATTAATGTTCATGGCATCGCCGATGTTCCGCGACTGGATATGAATCCTAACACTATTTTTTCAAAGGTATAGCAATGTTTTTTTAGACTTACAGATGTATAAAAACGCAATTATTATTAATTAAGATTGGTATTAAATGATCATAAATTATATATGTAATTTTTATTAAAATATCGCGAATAAATAGGTATTTTTAAAAAAGTTTTAAAAGTAATAAAAGATGTTTTTTTGTAGGTTCAAGAAACAAAAGTAAATAATATAATTGATCCTACATATTTTTCTGATACTGGTACCTACGACTTTGGATCCTTACTAGTGTTTCGAAAAGATAAAAGGTTCCGATTAAACAATATTAATATATCTAAAGATATATTAAATTATTAATTAAATAAATTACGTTTGCATAATTTGTAAACAGCGCCCATCGTCGCGAAGGAGAATTAAAGTTCTGTAATATATCTAAAGTCGATGCAAAAGTGTCTTTCTTTCTGCAGGAAAATAATCCAGATATTTTTATTATAGAACCAGAGAAACTTTATATTCAGGTATGCTATTATTTTATATTTTCTTTTGTAATGTGTTTAATCTCTTTTATAATTTAATGTATATATACACAAAATATCAAATTATCTTCTTTTATTTAATTTGTAGGCTGGACAATGTGGATTGCTAAAAATATCTGCAGGTGTTACGAAACTGGATTCATTTACTGATAAGTTGCATATATGTATTGCAAATAATCCGCATATTGATATAATCGAGGTAATTATAAGAAAAATATACCATACGCTTTTCAATTTAAAAATATCTGAAAAACAATTGTTCTAAAAATTATATTTATATTTAAAAAATTTTTAAATTATATTTAAATAAGAAAGTGTTATTTTTATTGTTTAAAATCAAGAAACCCATAATGTTTTAGCTTCGATGTAATGGCTCGAAATTGGACATTGAACTTGACGGCAAACAATTGTCTTTTGGTCAAGTGCTTTTGTATAGAAGAAATTTTCTTGCATGTTTTATTCGGAATAGATCTCCAGTTGAAATTTTCTGGCATTTGGATCCTGATGGACCTCTAGATCCTCAAATATCATTTACACCGATCAAAGGAGTTGTTAAACCCCAGAGTGATGAAAAGATCGAATTTTATTATCACGCAAGCAAAGTAAAAAATTCAATTAAGCTTTTGTTAAATAATAGTAGCTAAATTATATCAGTATTTACTATTAAAAATTTTAATACTTGTATTTTATTTAATTAAATATAAATTTTTCAAATTATTTTAATACACAAAAATAAAAAAGAAATGATTTTCTCTTTCTCTTTCAAATATTTTTAAATTGAAAATGTATGTAAAACTTTCTTTTCAAAATATTTTGTTTTAGATTGGAGCGATCGAGGGAAGCTTAACTTTTAACGCTTTTTTTCACGAAAATGATGTGGAATCTATTTTTGTGGAAACTCTCACTTTATCTGGCGAAACGTACGATGTTGCTATCGACATTAATCATGCAAATCCAATTGACTTAAAGTGCGTAAAAGTTGGTTTCTCTACAAGCGCGATTTTCACAATAACTAATCGGGGACATTACGAAGTTAAATATGTGTAAGTAGAAAAATATATTTAGCAAGTTCATATATTCATATCAAAATACTATAATTAAAATTTGCTAATTGATATAATGTTATCAATATTTACGTAAATTGTAAAATGTACTTTTATAATTCTTTTTTAATATTAAATTTATGATATATTATTAATATGTATGTTATATGTTAATTAAATTAATAATTATAATCAGCATTCTCTTGGAAGAGCAACACAAATTGGCTAAGATCGCATCGAATTTGCCTTTAAAATTAAAGGAAGACATTGAAATTAGTCCTATTACCGGTTCCATTCAACCAAAAAAGGAGGTTACAGTACAGGTATTTTTTAATACAATTCTTTTTTATTTCTTACATATGATAAAGAAATAAAAAGGAATTTTTATATTTGTACACACTTGTTATACAATTGTTTTACATTTTTTAAATAGAATCATTAAATTATATTAGTGATAAAAAATTATAAACAAATGTCAAGATAACAAATAAAAGAAAATAAGAAAAATACAAGTTTTAAAATTAAACTAAAATATAGCCTTATTTAATTGCAGATAACTTTCCTACCGAAAAATGAAATTACTTTAAAAGAATGCCCAATACTTCGATGTCATCTTCTCGATATGAATAAAGAGACTGCTGTGATTGCGGAATTTCCTTTGAAAGTTTCCTTAGTTGCATATTATACTAGGTGAAACATTTTATCTGAATCTAATTAACATTTTATTTAAACATTTAAAGATTTTTTTCTTCTAGGCATTTTTTTTTAATTTTTTCTTAAAATCTTAATTTTTGTTATAAGGTAAATTATAGATGCATGAGATTGTATTGATTATTTTTTCCAAAATATAGATTTCGCATTTATCCTTATCCCGAGATAAATTTTGCTTCACTCGGCATTTGTACCAAAAAAACGATGTACCTTAATGTGGAAAATACTGGAGAATTTTTACTTTGTTATTTTATTGAAATAGCAACTATCAAACATCCATCCAATCTTTACATGACAGAAATCAAGCTGGAAAATGCGATCAAAACTGATCTTGACAAAACATCGGATATGCCAATGAAAAGAGATAAATTGCGAATTGATAAGTAAATTTTTAAATATCTTATTAATGAAATTTAATTAATAATTGTAAGAATAAAAGTGTCTGTTCTAAAAATAAAAGTAACAGAAACATTTGTTTTGATATGCTAATATTTAATTATTCTTACAGGAAAACGACGGAATCTACGGCTACGTTAAAAATTGGTCCTTTTACAATAACGAAAACCGAAGGGAACATTCAACCAGGAGAAATCGATACTATAATAATCGAATGCTATCCAGAATGTGTGGGTTTACTTGAAGAAAAAATAATGATTCTCGTGCCCGATAGCACTCCCGAAGACAGAAATAGCAAATTAATAAAATTATCCGTTAATTCCTGCATACCTAGCGTCGATTTGCAGAATCTCGACGCTATGTTCCACGAAAATCACATTGTGGATTGCATTGAAGATTTTATTTGTCCGAAAGAGGTATCTAATTTTTCCAATAGTCTATCTCGTATCCAAAGTTAAAATAAAAAATATTTTTTTTATTGTATGCTATATTAGATTGGTGCACACACCATATTCGTACGTCAAGAGAAATGCCTGTATTTTCGTCACGTTAGCGTATCACACTCTCACACGGCATATCTCGTGCTTTACAACCGAGACGTGATACCTGCTGATGTAGAACTGATCTTACTCGCAGAATCATTTATACCAGAAACTGCAAAATCCGACATCTTTGTGCTGACACCCGAGAGAGAACGCATTCCGCCGATGAGTCATAAAAGATTCGCAATTTCGTTTAATCCGACATTTATGCAGGTAACATTTTTGTTTTATAAACTCAAATGTCAAAAATTACATTGTATTTAGTATTATATTTATAATCACAGACATGTTATGCAGTCTTCGAGATTGCAGTCGAGCTTCCCCCGCATTTAAGGGATGAAAAGTTTTTCTTAAAATTAGTAGGACAAGCTTGCGTGCCACAAGTGACAATTATAGAACCACCCAGCGGAAAGCGAGAACGAATTGTTCTAAACTTTGGTCGTACGCTTGTGAATGATTCTAATGAAAAGAAATTCACTTTTGAGAATGTCGGTGTGATTCCAGCTAAAGTTATTGTTGAGATTTATGAGAATTCAAATTTTCTTTTTACTCTCAGTACTTGTGACAGTACAAGAAACTACTTGTCAAATAGTTGGAACTATGGAGCCGATAGTTAGTTTCGTTTTTCTATACATTGATTAATAATAATTTAAGAAAGAAGTAAATTTTTCGCAAGACAAATTTTGAGAATTTAGACTTAAAAAATTCGCAGACATCTAATGAAACAAAATATATTTTTATATTTTTATATCTTATATAATTTCTCCAATTATAATTGAAATTATTTAAAATTATTGTTGTCTTTTTCAATAAAAAATAACTTTTTAAAAATCTGACAATTATTTTTTTAAATTTTAAATGTATTAAGTCTTAAATTATTTTTTAAAAGAATCCAACTTTTAAAAAAAGTAAAAAAGTATATAATATACACAACATGACATAAATATATTTTAGTAATTCAAAAATGATGAAGTGATAGATAACTTTTACGTAACATGTATAAATTATTAAATTACAGTGTCAAACGATCGATGCATTGTAGTTTGTATAATGCCCGAAGAAAAGACATCATTCAAAGTAAAATTTATTCCACGAGAGATCGGCAAGTATGAAGGTCAAGTGCGACTATTCATCACCGATAATCCCTACGAGAATCTGATAATCGATTTAAAGGGCGAAGCATACGCAGAATCAGTTATATTAGAAGGGTTAGAGCTCACAAATATAAAACTTGATTCTACCAATGAAAAGCGCGAGTCTAATATTAAATCGCGAAAATCATCAAAGCCAAACAGTACAGTGGAAGGTAATAAAATTGCAAAAACAATAGATAGATAAGAGCACAATCATAGAAAATATTTCAATTTTATTTTAAGTTTTATTTCTCTTGTCTATCATTTAATTTTTTTAATAAATTTTTATCAAAAATATTTATTAATTATTATCCATTTTCAATTATTCCTAATTTCATGAGAATTTTATTATTTATTGTATCATAACTTTACCAAAAAAATATTTATTAATTTATCATATTTTTTATTAATCTCTTTTTAAAATTTTTTTCTAAGTGCAATTTTTCATTTCTCGTTTTTGCTTGTGATTTATATCTTACAGCTTTGACGCCGAGAACACTCCCAGTGTCATTGGCCTATAAGCTGGATTATGGATATTGTTTTGTCAATAAGATATACAGGAAGAGCTTCAAAATTGTCAATAAATCAGTGAATCGGTACTCACGATTTCAATGGAACGCACATCCCAATGTTGTACTTACCCCATCCATTGGTCATCTCCAACCCATGACTTGCAAGGAAATCGTTGCGACATTTCTTTCTTCGGAACCAGTGAATTATATCGACGTATTAAAATTAACAAGTTTAAATTCTGTCAATTACCACTAATCAATATTTTCAATTTGCATTTATTTGATAATAATATCTTTAATTTGATATAAAATATATAAATATCTATCTATTTTTTTCAGTTTATATATCCTGGAAATTTTTCTTTTTAAAAAATAGGTTTAGGATAAAAGAAAAATATTGTCACAATTTTATTACAAAATTAGATTTTACATCTTTATATTAATTATAGTGGTAATTGTAGTTTTCTTTATTTGGTATTGTTGCATATTGAATATATATAAACTAATTATTTCCAACGATAATTTGCAGACGTGTATCGATTGCACAATTTGTGCGATTGATCTTGCTGATCCTTCGAAAGAATCATCCTGGGACGATCGAGAGACAGAAGTGCGATGGATAGCGATGAATCTTGACGATAATGAACAAGAAATAAACGCAGAAACGTTAGCTAGGAAAGCAGTCGAACCCGTTAACGAGCCAAGCCATGAAATGGTACCTGGTACGACGAAATGCATTCAAGTATTACTAAATGCGATTGTGGCATTCTCCAAGTACTCTTGTCCCGTTAAAGAGATCAATTTTAAGGACTCGTTAATGTTTCAGGTAAACACAATAATATATTCGACTTATATCATTTATCTTGCATCCAAATTAGACTATAATTATTTCAGTATAATTATATTTTTATAGTTATATGTCGCGCGAGTATAATTTATATATTTTTTGATAGATTTTAAAAGAATATAAAAAATATTTATTAATTTATAAATTTTT